TTGACTAAAAATTTTTTTTCGTTCAGGGTTTTATATTGAATATGTGTTTCTTGGAGATGGTATATGGAAACTTTTCTTATTATAAATAATTATGAATTATTAATTGCATTAATTTATATATTGATACAATTTTGCGTCGGATTACGTCGAAGTTTATCGAAATTTCAGAGATTTTAATAATGAATCTAATGTTTGAATAATGAAGGCAAAATGTTTTGCGATTACGCTTTCTACATAGGCCCATTAGCGGCTGAGCGGTAAAGTTACTGAACACTGGTAGTTCGGTTAAACTTTCGAATCCTGGAAAACGGGCTGGCTGCATGGGTGTTTTCGTTATTTTCTGCATGTGTAACGCATATGCAGTTCTTCTGCATGCATACATGAATAAAGCAGGCATAGCCCGCGCAAAACCGCTGAACACTGGTAGTTCGGTCCAACTTTCGAATACCGGCGAACAGCAGGCTCCATGGGTGTTTTCGTGATTTTATGCATGTGTATAGTGTATTGAGTATCTTCTGGATGCATTTGTGAATAAAGTGGGCGCAGCCCGCACAAAGCCGCATAACACTGGTAGTTTGGTCGAACTTTTGAATCCTGGCGAACGGGCTGGCTGCATGGGTGTTTTCTTTATTTTCTGCATGTGTAATGCGTATGCAGTATGTTCTGCATGCAGAAGTGAATAAAGCGGGCGCAAAACCGCTGAACACTGGAGTTCGGTCCAACTTTCGAATCCGAGCGAGCGGGCTGGCAGGATGGGTGTTTTCGTGATTTTCCGCATGTGTAACGTTTATGAAGTATCTTGTGGATGCATACCGGAATAAAGCGGGCGGAGAACACTGGTAGTTCAGCCCAAATTTCAAATTCAGGCGTATGGGCTGGTTCCACGGGGGTTTTCGTGATTTTGCGCATGTGTAACGTTTATGAAGTATCTTGTGGATGCATATGTGAATAAAGCGGGCGCAGCCCACGTAGAACTGCTGAACACTGGTAATTCGGTCCAACGTTCAAATCCCGGCTAACGGGCTGGCTGAATGAGTGTTTTCTTGATTTTCCGCATGTGTATAGTGTATGCAGTATCTTCTAGATGCATACGTGAATAAAGGGGGCGCAGCTCGCGCAAAACCGTTTAACGCTGGTATTTCGGTCCAACATTCGAATCCCGACAAGCGTGCTGGCTGCATGGGATTTTTTGTGATATTCTGCATGTGTATCGTGTATGCATTGTCTTCTGGAAAAATACGTGAATAAAGCGGGCGGAGGCATCGGAAAACCGTTGAACACTGGTAGTTTGGTCACACTTTCGAATACCACAAAGGCATCCATCTCCTGAGGTAGCAGGCTTGCTCGCTAGTTTAATATAAAATTGTATGATAATTTTTTAAAATTCTTTGAAGTACTTTGTTATTACAAAAGAAGTCATAAAATAAGCATGCATGTAATAAATACATTACATGCATGCTTATTTTATAATTTCTTTTTATACATTTTTCTGACAAGGGTCACAGGACATTTTGTAGGCAGTGACATTTTACTGGTCATCCTGTTTCTAAAACATGAACAAACATATATGTATTTTTATTTACATATTTATTATTTACATGTATGTATGCATGTATACATACAATAATACATGTTGTATGTAGTGTATTAAAAACAATTTGTGTGCATATTTATACAAGTCACTGTTTTCTATAAAAAATAATTTCTCAATGTGTCATATATACTGTTCTTATGTCAGAAAATTACCTATTAGAACTGTCTAGTGTAGTTTTCAGTATACCAAAACAAGTACGTTATCTTTCCCCCCTTTTTCTGGCATAATAGCGGTATTTTTTATTATGAAGATCACAATACTTTCCTCTAAAAGCAAATGTACGCTATTTTTTATATGGCTTTCAAAAATAAGAGTGCATTTATGTATGCCACAAATATGAAAGTTTTACAAGACGGTTCTACCTTGAAAGAGTATAAAATTCATTTAAATTACTATAGCAATTAAATAGTTATTATGCTTCAAGATAATATATTAAAAAATATGAGTTCTATATAGGGAGAAATACTGTCAATATAGTATATGGCCTAGAATATTTTTTTATAAATCTTTAAGGAGATATATGTACACACATCTGGATTTACATCTAAGAAATTTAAGCAATATAGTATAAGTACATAAATCTAGGTTTAAAGTGCAAAGGGCATTTTAAACCTAGATTTATGTACTTTTAAAAGTGCAAAGGGCATTTTGGCATTAAAATAAAAAAATACCTCTTTCTTATACCAAGTTTCAGAAATTTGGAATTTTGTAGCAAAACCTTTGACCGAAAAAAATAATTTAAATAGTTAAAGCATGTAATTATGTAACAGGTATCATTAATGCAATAAATGGAACATAATTTAGATTGATATACTCATATAAATAGTTAGTTTTGGAATTTATCTGTGAGCTTAAATATAGGGGTTCATATAGAGACATTATATTATGACCACTCTCCATCTATAGCAATGGGCTCACCCAGGAACAAAAACATTATGGCTTGGCGGCTGGGAACATCAATATCAGAAATGGTGCATTTATTGGGCTGTGCACATATTGAAAGTAGTGTATGGATGGTGAAATGTCAAGTCGTTGGCCAGCAGTGTGTCGTCGATGATGTATTGATTCCAGAGGAGTGTGGAAATTGCTACGCATTGTTTGCCATGACCGAAGAGCTGGGACAGTGGTCACCCAGGCAGTGTTTCTCAACATAGCGTCCTGCAGCCAGAGGCCAAAGCATGTCCCTGCACTAATGGCATGTCATTGCGAGCTGCCTCAGCAGTGGGCCAAGAAACATTGGAATTGGACACAGAGAAGAAAGAAAGTTGCATGGTTTGACAAATCACATTTTCTGGTCCATCACATCGACAGGCGGGTGCTAATATGCCCATTTCCAAATGAAACTGGCACAGTTGGATGGAGACAACTGCTGGTGGGGGGGGTATTATGGTGTGGGCAATGTTTTCATAGAGCACATAAGGACCCATAATCCCTATAGAACAATTCCTGACATCTGTGCGCTACATGATCATCATTGCAGACCAGGCTCTCCCATTCATGACAGCAGTATTTCCAGTGAGGGATGGTGTTTACCAACAGGATAAAGCATCATGTCATAAAGGTCGAATCGTCAGGGAATGATTCAAGGAACATGTCTTGGCCTCCAAATTCACCTGGCATTTATCCAATAGAGCATTTGTGGTCCCACCTGGAAAACCAAAGTTGTGCTGTCACATTACCCCCTCGCAATGTGCGGGAACTGCTGGACCAGTTGGTGAGCACTTGTTACCAGATACCTCAGACTAAGTATCAGCACCTTGTGGAGTCAATGCCATGCCAGGTGCTGGCAGTTTTGAGGGCTAAAGTTGGTCCTACATGTTATTAACAAGGTGGTCATAATGTAATGGCTCTTCGGTGTATGTTAGAATTTCTAAATGTTCATAAAGCCTTCCTTATGTTATTTATTCAAAGTTAGAAAATATATGTTCTCAGTTTTAATGTCATTTAATAAAATGTTGGTAATTGTTTATTTAGTGAGCATGAATATAAATTTGGAACTGAAAAAAGGAAAGATTAAGCAAGATTTCATACATTTTATGCCACATTTCATTTTTTTTCAACTGAGGGGGTAAGAAAAAATTAAGATTGGAATCAATCAGTGAATTTAGTTTGCTAGCTTTTCCTTGTGTCAGTCACTAGTTTGTTAGTTGGATATACAGCTATGTAGTTCATATTGTTAAATAGGCAGAAACAAACTAATATGTGGTTTACCTGTTTATTTGTGCTATTTTTAGATCTACATTATATGAATAACTATAAATTAGAATTATGCATAACAAATGTTATACATAATTAGTGTTGCTTTCACATGAAATTACTCTATTGAATTAAAGTTGTAACTAAAATTATGATAGTGATTTTAAAATTAAGAGGATTAACTAAAAGCCATGTCTTAAACAAAAGAGAATGAAGAACATGTTTTTTTTTTCAAGATAAATTAAAAATTATATATTTTTGTGGTGGTGTGCACTATAAAGTTTTATGATATATTTAATAAAGAAGTACCAGTTTGAAATAATACAATTTATGTAGCCATTACAAAATGTATCATAATATGTAAATTGAGGGGGAAAAGTTACAGTTCCTAAAATCTGGCTTACAACAATTTCTTTCTTTCCTGAAGCAGATCCAGTGAAGCTACAGTTCATGTAAGTTTTTCTCATGGACTCATCAGTGTTAAAAAACAATAAAAACTATTGATTGAGTGCAAATTAAGTCTGTTGAATTTCTTTATGCTGGCTAGCAATTATCCAAAAATGTGAATTTGTCAGCCAGTACAGAAGTAGAAAATATTTAAAAAAAAAAAAAAAAAAAAAAAAAAATCGCTAATGATACAGATATCAATCAAGAAGAGAAAAGTATAGACATTTCAGCAGTTGATGAGACATCACATATAGACCACAACTTACCATTTAGGTACACGGTGTTAGCGATGAATTTGAAGTAACTGAGGGTAAAGATGAATGAAAGTATAAGAAATGCCAGGTTGAATGAGGAGCATCTACAGTCCATTATGAAAACAGTTTCTAGTAATTTTTCTCCAAGCATGCAAATTTTAAAATTAAAATGCCATCAAGTGTCAAGTTTTAGTAAGAAATAAATTTATAGTGATTTATATACAAGCTAGTGTATTTTTTGTGTATCCATTTATTAGAACTCTTCTGTACGCAAGAAAACTTTAATAAATAGAGGAATCAGAATAGTTTGTTGTCATTTATTCTCATGGTATATTTATTCTCATGTCATTATTTATTCTCATGGAAAATGTTCATAATCTGTTAAGGTATTTAGTGATTAATACAACATATATTGTAATGGGTTTCTGTTTATTGCCACTCTTATGTTATTATTTTAGAGCTGTACATGAAACATTCATTTTTACTGAAACAAAAATTAGCCAACATACCTCCCACAAAAGCATCACCTGCTCCATTGGTATCAACTATTTCTTCTGCTTTAACATATGTTACAGGGTATTTTGTGATTTTTCCATCTGTAAGAGATTCATGAATTCACTTAGGTTTTTCCGACATTATATAAAGAAACAGTTTCAGAAATGACTTCTGAATACATTTAAGAATAGAAAATTAAGAAATTATTTACTATGTCTCAACTAGAAAATTTTTTTTTTTAATTCTAAGATCATGTTTCACATCAAAACAAAAGGACAGATATTCACCATAATGGAAAATGTTTTTTTTAAACTTAATATAACAAAGCTATGTAAATGGAATTATTCCTTAGGTGTAATTTTTTTAATTCAGCCATGAAAAGCTCATGAAAGGAGAAATAATTTCTAAGAGGAATTAAATTTAATTTTTGAAACAAAAAATGAAGACTTTTTTTTTTTTTATAAACTATATATATTTTTATCTTCTGAAAGAAGAAAAGTCTGAAAATATAATATTTAGCTAATGAATTCTAATCATAAACTATGGCAACATGTGTTGATATTGAAAAACTGTTTTCAGAATATGATCTGCTATGCAGCAAATTAAGAAATAAATTAGGAGTCGGAAAATCTTCAATGCTCATATAATTAAATAAAAAATGCCTATCATTTGCATTTAGTATATGAATTGAAAACAAGAATAAATTATTGTGATTATCTATGCAGGCTATTAAAAATTACTGATGTCATCCATGCCTTTGAGTTATAGTCCACTGGTACACTCTTAGTCCTTTAAAGCATTGAGGGTTTTTTGCCTCCTAATTATGAACTTTCCGTTTTTACCACACATACTGATGAAGCATAAAATGGTTACAAGACCTTTTGATATATTTTTGAATTTTTGATCTTTCAATTTTAAATAAATATTTATGTTGAGAAAATGCATGATGGTAGAGACCTGTTTCAGTAGCATTATAAATGTTTTCAGGACAGAACTTCATAGACAGCAGGTAAAACATTTTCTTCAAATGTATTTGTAAATACTTTTTTCATCGGCTAAACCAGCCTACTATTGCTAAAAAATTATGTTTTCCAATTTTTATGGCTTTCAAATTTTCAGCTTTTTGCTGCATTAATGGACTGTTCATTGCCACATGTCATTCCTGAACATTTATTAACCAAATTTTAAATGCTTTTTCAAATCTGTGATCTTTCTTGCTATGCATTCATTTCATTTTGATTTTGCTTTGTTTTGCGAACAGCATCTTTACGAATCTTCAAAATCTTGCCCATGAGGGATTGAGAAATAATTACCAGCTTTCTATCGACTCATTTTTTAGAGTTGATCTCAAAGATTTAACAATTCAGTTTTATTCCTTAAACTCGGATCATTATGCCTTTTTCTACACCCATATCAAAAATCACTCAAACTAAACTTAGTGGCACAAACAGCTCTTACAAAGCCATGGCCAGCAATGCCCTGATATCTCCTTTCTACACCGTGGGCTCCGGAGTGCTTGTGCATCTTAGCCTGTACAAGTGGTCAGCATGTTGCAGGACCCCCCGGTGTTTAGTCCCCAAGCGAACTTGGTACTTATTTTATTGACCCACTCCAGGGATGAAAAGGAGCCAACTTTGCCCAGCCCGGGGATCGAATCCCAGACCTGTGGTGCTGCTGTGCCGACGCTAGCCGCTGAGACACCGGCCCTCCAGTAAAAATCACTAAACAGAACAAAATAATGAGCATTTTCTAGATAGAATATTCGTAAAATATACTATTAAAAACAAGCTTTTTACACAAGCTTTTTCAAACTAGTGGGTCTTGATTCTTTTGTACGTGATTGATTGCCTTATATTAAAACCAAGCTATTTAGCAACTTAATTCCTTACCTGGCAACATGTCTCTGTTATTTAGCAATTTCTGTATGGTATTTCAACTGTATTTAATGACTTTATTTCAGTTTACAATATTTAATTTATAATATTTTAATAACATAATTGACTTCTAGATCAATAAGCAATGTCATTTCTAAGTTTTCATTTACACATCTGACTTTAGTAATTTGACAGCATCCAAATGATAGCATTAAGCAGTACCTACTCCAGATGATTAAGGTATACTACAAATTTCTCATCATGTACTGTATCATTCTTATGAGATTGGTTTACATGTTTGATATTTGCTTCCCTGTCTCTTGCATAGTTTTTGCAATACGTGAGCTTCCAAAACACACTTGTTGGATCCTTGTAGTCACTCTGTTATACAGCATAGTCACCATAGATAGATCCAACTTACTGACTCAGGCATTCTGTGTTTGAAAAGTTATTTTTGAAGCATCGAGGCTTTACTGTATAGCCTGTGCGTATGTGTATATATATATAATTATTATAAGAAAACTTTCCATTTACCATATCCAAGGAATTCAAATTCAGTTTAAAGCCATGAATGAAAAAATTTTTAATAGAATTTTAATTAGTATTTTAAATAGTAATTTCAATCTCCTAGTTTAAAAAAATCTGCTAAGAAAAACCTTTCATCGTAAAAAATCTATCATTGTCACACATATATGAAAAAGAATTTAGAAAAATCTTTTAAAAATGTAAATACTGTCTTTTGAATTGAAATCATAAGTAAAAAAGCTGAAAAATCTAATAAAAATGCAAACAGAAACAAGTCAACATATGAAAAATTAATAACAAATGAAAATTTGATCCAAAAACATAAAATAAAAATAACAAATAATTAAAAATTGTTAGTTTTTAAAATATGTAATTAGCTCAATGAAAGTTTAGAAATGAAAAAATAATTCAGTGTGCTCAGTAGCAAAAGACTATTGTTAAGCCCAATATGTGCTAAGTAATGAAATTAGATTAACTGTGAATTTTAAACTGATCAATAATAATAAAAATAAGTAAAAAAAACTTCTAATGTAACATAAAATATGGTGCAATAAAAATGAATATTTGTAAAAGGAAAAAACATTTAGTACACTTCAGGAAAATGAATGGTAAAAGTTGTAGTGCTTAGGACTTTTTAGTCCTTTGACTGGTTAACTTTTTTTTTTTTTTTTTTAATTTGGCGATTGGAAAAGTTGTAGAACTTGGTGTAAAAATATTTTTGAAGAAACTGCTATAAACTTTGAAGAAGTTAAAAAACAACTGTGATGAAAAGAAGTGTGTGGTATTAAAAATGTGATGCGGAGAGGGCAGTGTCTAGTACACTGTAAGCAAAGTTGTGAGCAATCATACAGAATGCAAATGAGGAATTTAGCAAAAACATTACAAATTTATAGGTAACCTAAAAGAGAACAAAGGAAGAAAATGAAAAAGAAAATATAACTCACTCAAGAGGAATTTCTAAGAAGCTGAAATAGACCCATTTTGTTAATAAAAGAGAATTATTAGACAATTTAAATTAAAACTAATGTAAACGTTTTGACAAGAATGCATAATTCAACTGTGTTAAGAACATCCAGATTCTACTGCTATAATGGCTGACAAACTGCAGTTAGGTGGCGGAAATAATTTTTAGATTAACAATTATAGTTTAGCTAGCTGTTTTTAAATGAAAGTATGTGGAATTTTAATACTATTTAGCATTTTAATTAATAAGCTAAGGTCTTTTGTAAAATCATTACTGCTATTGCAAATACTTTTTATTCATTAATGATAGCAAATAATTTTTCTGCAGATATTGGAATCCCAATTAATTAGGTTTATTCTGAAATTGAAAAGTCTTCTTATATCAAATAAAGTAATAATGTTGTGATTGTCAATTTCTAGGTTAAGATAATCTGCTTTCGTTTCATCTATGTGAGTTTTATTGAGGCATTTGAAGGATAGATATCTTGTTTTTCAATTTCATCGTAATAATTATTGGCAATTACGTCACCTACATGCATGTAAATAAATTTCAAAAGTTCTGGTTCATGGTAATTTTAAATACAATTCCTTAAAGGAGAGGAACAGGTTACAGATGGCAGTGAATAGTTAGTACTCGTATGAATATCATTAATTCATAGAAAATTTATATTTTAGTTTTATACATTATATACAGAGGAGGATAAATCACAACAACTACACGAAATAAGACTGCAATGTTTTCATTATTTTAATATACCAAAAATCTTAATACTTTTTGCAAGTGAATGAAAAATTATGTTATACAGAAAACAGAACAGCTATACACTGCAGAATTTTGCAATAAGTAATATTTCTTCTGAAAACAAAACTACATAAAAAATGCCAAATATTATACTGTACCTGTAGCACAAATAATTGGATTCTCTTCCTGAGTAATGATTACAATTCGAGATCTTTTTTCATTTTCTTTTGGCAAGCTCTGAATCTGTAAGGCTATTTCTTCTATGTTTTCAGTCTGAATATTAAATGCATAAGGTTAAAATTACTCAATACTTAAAGATTTGTTGTTACCAATTACATAGTGCAAATAAGCTGCTACATTTTCTAAATTTTAGTTCATTTAGACATAATAAAAATTTTCAGCATACAACTCACAGTTCAGATACAACTCCATTTTAAAGTTCTAAATATGATGCCATATGTCTGTTTCTTTCTTCACATGGAGTAACTTTCTAGGTATAAGATGTGGATAAGATGTGGAATAAAAACTTTCTCCCCCTTTATGTTTAAGTTGACATTTTTACACATATTTTAAAGGCATGAGATAAAAATCTGTAAGATGTGTAATTTTAACTTTTGAAATGTATATTTATATTACCAGCAATGTATGAAACACCAACACTATAGAATATAAGCATTTTATAGAATTCCTGGCATTTTTAGGAAAACTATGAAATATGAGTATTATTATTCCCTAGGTGTTGTATATAATACTTAGTAAAAAAAAGTGTATACATCTATAATAAATCAGACTGGATTGAATTTAAAGCAGTAAACAAAGAGCGCTATTCTACCCAACATTTCTTCCTGAAGACTAAAGATGAACTACAGTACAAAGTCCGAAATCCGGATTCGTCGGGGCTTCGGTGATTCTGGATACTAGATCATCAGTTTAAATCTAGTAAGATGGCATGTAGAAATTATAAAATTAAAAATATGAAATCGTGATTTATGAAGTATTTATGATCTAAATAAAGAGTATCAAAATTTACACACACACACACACACCCAAAAAAGGAGAAGAAGCTTATTTGTTTACCTTATTAAACATTTCTTTCAATGTAAGTTGTTTAAGTTGCTTCGTTTTTTGTGCTATTACTTTCTCTTTAATCTGTAGACAAACATAATCTCTTGTTCAGTTACACTGTTGAAGTCCTGTAACTGCTGTGACGAGAATTCTGACTAACTTGTGAATCGAAATTTTTTCATTTTCAGCAACTTCTCTGTCACTATTGGTAGCGGTATTTTCTGGATCTTTCGCCATTCATTAACTGACTGTGACTGAGGAGCATTGTCATCACAATGAAAAACTTTTTTTATATTATCTTCATTTATTACCGCTGTCATCACAACGAAAAACTTCTTTTATATTATCTTCATTTATTGCCGCTTCTCCACATTTCTTACATACCACATATTAATTTATTACTGCTTCTCCACATTTCTTAAATACCACATATTTGTATATGTGGATATTCTGCACATATACAAAATCTGTTAATTGGAAAATTTCACCTTTGCTTTGCGATCTGAAAACCTTTAAAATTCGTGGCTATCATTCACTATACATATTTGGCTCTACATCATGATCTTGGCGACTAATGACAAGTTGTTCCGTTAAATTCTATCGCACACTGAGACAATTAAGCCTGAATTATACTAGTTATTTATTATACTTATGTCTATTTCTTGCACATGTTTAAGGCTTATCAGACTTCTGAATAAATTAATTCCCACATATACTTAAGCCTTATTGAGGGCTGGCGCTAGATATCTTACTGCCTGAGGCAGTCTCCTGTGGGTCCTAAATTCTTGACTCAGTGTGATCATACGAGCCCTGGTGCTGGTTCTGGGTTTATGTGAATAACAAATCAGTTATTTTTAATTCAAATAGCCCTAAATGTAATACAGTCAAAAGTCGTTAATTCGGACACCCATAATCCGGAATGATCTATAATCCGGATCTCAAAGCTAAAATCTTTCTGCACATGCGCCGCGTTGACGCATGCACATAGGCGTTTTACGCGTGCGCGCAAGACATTTACGACTGCGCATATGTGTCTGCGCAAGCGCAGAATACGTTTTCGTGTGCGCGTTTAATGTAAAACGGACGGTATAAGCTAAAATGATCTATTTCAGTTAATGTTGATGATTGCGTCGTTCCTTAATCTTCGAATTGGATCCGGCTTATTATTTTTTGCAGACAGTAAGAGCAATTTTATAAAAATAAGCTTGAACTTTCGATTATGTCAAATAGAATTTCCGATGCTGGAGCTCCCAAAGGATCTAGAAAACGAAAGTATGCTTCGATGTCCATCAAACAAAAAACGAATTGCTATAAAAAATGGATAAAGGCATATCCTTTGTTTATCTAACGGTTCCGAAATCTGTTTATCAATTTCACGCTGCTCTGCGCGGGGGGACGTTGCGGCGCGCAATGAACTGGAAGTTGATTTGTCAGCACTATCGTTATCTTTAGGGCAGATGTTTTTATTTTATTCGGCTTATAATTCCTTACTAAATGTAGTATTTAATCTCGATGTACTCCGTCTTTGATAGGATTTAAATTAAATTCCTCTTCATTATAAATATCACGAATACAAATCAAATAGTTTTCTGGTTTCAATTTTCTAATTTCGGCTATGCGTAAGGTATGCTTTACGCATGCGTGCGCTGAAAGAAATGTTTAATAAAGTAAACAAATAAATAATAAGCTTCTTTTTTTGTAAATTTTGATACCCTTTAGATCATAATTGCTCATTATTTTATAAATTACGGTTTCATATTTTTAATTTTATAATTTCTGCATGCCATCTTACCAAATTTAAACTAATGATCTATAATCCGGAATCGCCGAAGTCCCGACGAGTCCGGATTAAAGACTTTTGACTGTATTTGAGTCTATGAGTATCATCAACAAAATCTATTTTTAGCATATGGAAAGAAATTTTTGTTAAATTTTTCCTCTTCAACATTTTCTAGCACATTTAACTTAAACCTGTAATCATCGCCAAGCATAATGTCAACATAAAAGGTTACCATACTCCTTTATTATTCAATTACTAACATAAAAAAAAAAATTAACGCTGATTTTTGTTGTTTGACTTCTGAATTAGTATTTATTTGGGATGTTATTGTGTCTTAATTGTAAAAAAAATTATTTAGGCTTCGCTACTCGAGTCATTACTCAAGTTGTCATGTGTTGATAAACATGCGGTGATGAAAGGAAATTGTAATAAATAATGATTCACCAGGTTGGCATCAGATTAACAATGTATCTATGTGGACTTCAGTTTGAGATGTGGACCAAAGCAGATAGGCAGCAATGAAGCCAAATTACTTATTGTACAAATTTATGCTAAAATGATTGTTTCTTCAATAGCAAGGTATTTTATTTAGTGTGGAAATAAAATTAAGAATTGGGACTCTCTAGACGTTTTATAGCCTACGGGGAAAATGTTGTTAGTGATTTTGAGGTCCGGATTTTAGATCATTCCAGATATTGGATGTTCAGATTTCAGACTTTGTACTGTACTATATACACACAATTATGACATCACATCTTCATTTTACAAATAAACACTCCTGCCATCTATTGGCATTTCTGAGGATACATAAACTTATATTTAACACTCCTTCCCATACACCTGCAAACGGATGCATCAATTCTACTGAACTTCAAGATTATAAAGTCTTTCAGTTGGTCTTCTAATAACACCCTTATCCAACTGAATCTCATAAGATCTAATTCTACGATCTCTTCCATGAAATAGTTCTTTAATACTAGCTAACTTCCAGTGAATAGCATTTCACATTATCTTCTCGTATAACATCATTAATTTTAAACATGGGAGAATTTTTTTGAATTTTTGAAAACATGACTGATCTTAATTCTAACAAAAGAAAACCTTTCTCCCATGTTTGGAAAGGGTTCAAGACTTATATATTTTTTCAGGGTCACTTTCTTTCGATGCCAGTATTTCCCGTTCTTTTCACCAAAAATATGCAAATTTAAAAGAGTTTCTCCTTTTACTGGTAAGTTTAATTTTTGTGATACATCTTCCTGAATCGCAGAGATTTGGCTCCCGCCATCAAGAAGATGTCTCACAATACAATTGTTATTTCCATCTTCAGTCACAGCATTCATTGTTTGAAGCATAATATTGCATCCAGTTTAAGCAGAAGAATTTTGAGTTTTTTGAAGAATTTGAATTTCCAGTTTAAGCAGATGATGATTCGGTTTCCTTATTTTTTTTTTTTTTTTTTTACACTGGAGATAGCTGATGTGGGATTTACACAAACACTTTTATGATGTTTATCGTGGCAATTTTTGCAGGAAGCTTGTTTGTTCTTGCACTTGATTGCTAAATGTTTATACCCAAAACACAGAAAACACCTTCTAATACGTTTTAAAATGTTGCATTTCTCTTCAGAGTACACTTCAGTACATTTGTATTTCATTTTGTATCCAATCTATGACAAAGCTGAAGTAGCCAGAACTTTTGGTTTATAATTTGGATAAGCTTTTGTGCATTGTTCATGTTGACGAATGCAAGATTTCGGATTGGTTTTCACATAGTTCATTAAACTTACAGCTTCTTGGAAATTAACTTCCTTTTTTAAGAATTATATAAGTTCCTTTATATCAAATCTTGCTTACATTTTTGACTTAGATTAAATTCTGAATTTAAGTCCTCTGGGAATTTTTGCAAAATGATTAGACAGAGAATATTTCCTTAACTTCCAGAAGTGACATTAAATGATTCTAAACTTTGAATGTTGACTTCGCATTCATCATACAGTATACGCAATGCTTTAATATTTGAAATAGTCACCATTGATTCAAAAGATAACTTATTCATATGTGAAGCGATGACAACAACTTGTTTTCTAAAATTTATATTGCAGAATCATAATTCTGTTCACTTAAAGTGAAACCAGAAAGGGCAGCTAAAGCATTACCGCTATGTAAGGATTTTAGTTTCACACATTTTTCAGTTTTTCTCAGTCCACTATTATTGTCAATTGTATTTTTGAACTGGTTCCAAAAATCAAACCATTTACATGAATCTCTATAATAAGTTCCAATTTGCAGATGTGCCAACTTTACTGCTTTCATTTCATCTTTAAGTGTAACATTCGCTGTTTCGTTCTGATTATTTGCGTTCAAGAACATTCTAATTTTTTTTTCTTCATAAATCATTACATTCATCCTCTCCATATAACAGATTTATCCCAGTATTCTTGACTTAGTGTAACTTCATTTTCAATGTCCTCTGAAGTTAATTTCGTTTCAATTTCTGAATCTAGGCTTTTCAGTTAATTGATTTTCTCAATTAACTGTTCATATAAATACTAAATTATTTCAATATTTTTGTTTAGCGGAAAATTATTTGCTAAATTTGTTTCAACTTTGGTTAACAGTTTCGTAGTTAAACATACAATGTTGTTCTACACAACGCTCATTCATGAACATCAAAAATGAACTACTACATACACACAAGTATGACATCACAGCTTCTTTTTGCAAATAAACACTAATGCCATCTACTAGCATTCTGAAGATTCACAATCATAAACGTATATTTAACACCTAGACAAATGCTTTTTAGGCAAAGTATTAAAAAAAAGCCATGGTAAGGCTCTGAGCAGCATGACCAGCTTTACCCTGTCATGAGATTTTTTTTGTGACTTAGTTCTATACTAGCTTATAATTTAAGATATTTGGCTTACGTACTTCCTTTAATAATGCAAATATCGTCTCCATGAATTTAAGTTTATGAATATACAGACTAAAATAAGTATATAAATTTACCTAATGACTGCTGTTTAAATACAGATTTTCTTGACAGATCCTAAAAACTTGCATCGCCAAGATGGTTAAAAGACACGCATTTCGAAAAAATATGAGTGTTATTTTGAAGAAATAATAAAAGAACGCCATTAAAACACATCTACTCGAAATATGTAAAGATAAATGAAAGTTTTACAAAATATATGCCTTTTTTTTAGAAAATAATGAATGAATTATGTACGAGTGCATTAAATATATGAATGTTCTAAACAAATCAGAGATGTATTTGATACTTTGCTGATTTGTCACTTGGCATTCTGTAGAATGCTTAGGTTAAAGTGTTAATCATTTGATACACTGCTGACCAGTTTCCAGCATTCTATAAAATACATAGATATTGTATAAAATGGCTGTCTTTCATACATTGCTAGTAATATAATATATACAAAAATGGTGGCATTCAGTGCAGGCACAATTTCATTCAAGCAAGTTTAAAATGTCATTCTATTTCAGAAAAAAATTAGTATAAAAATATATTAAAAAAAGATCTTTATTACCTTGAAAATTTTCTTTTACTGAAATAATCCACACATAAGGAAAAAAATTCTTTTGTTACATGATGATTTTGAGAGAATAATAAAAAAGCTTGGGAATATATATTTTCAAAATCTACCGAGCAGTGTATTTTCTGAAAGAATATCGAATACTCAAATTTTATCTTTGTGTATACTAAGTGAATACTAAATATATATTTTTCTGGGACCAAAATTCAGACTAAGAATTTTAGCTCGCTGACTACCTGAAAAGCTCAAAAGATGCTGAATGTTGGATACATCAAAATTCAAGACAGTTAAACTTATTGCCCTTCAAAGTAGAAAAGCAAAATGAACGGAAGAAATTTTCACTTTAAAATTACAAAAACAATTATCTTATTTATCAGCAACTTTAATATCAAATGCCCACATTTAAAATTATGTAACAATACTATAAAGGGATGTATTTCAAACACAACAGCTAACATTTTTTATAGGTTGAAAGATATGAAAGTAAAACAGATTATCTGATTGCAAAATCTCATCAACCATGAAATTTAGTGAAGAAATCGTAAACTTGCGCTGATTAATGTGACAAAATTTTAAAAGAATAGATAATTTTTTATTTAGTAAAATAATCAACAGATACATGGATATAGCACATAAAAACATCATGCAACTTTAAAAATACTTTATTGCATGCCTATTCAGTCATAAACGGTTCTCAAAATATTAATCATTTTCTTAAAATGGAAGGAAAAAAAAAAAGATATGTAGCAGTTAACTTATGTCCTCCTTTATATTTATTCCATTCTTTAAATTCATTACATCAGCTTCCTGAGAATAAATCGGGTTTACATAAAAGCGAGATGAAGATCCTGATAGTGTTTGATGTCACACTTATCTATTATAAACACTAAATCACTGTCTGTTGCTTCACTTCTCCAATAATCACTAAAGCACTATTGGGTGACCATATCCCTAAACATGCTTTACAAGTCTGTCATTTGCTTAATTAATTTTTGAGCGGAAGGGGATGTTCTAAAAGATTTCTAAAAGAGTTTTCAAGATTTCTAAAATTTTGAGTTCTAAAAGATTCTAGTTAATTGAATGCCAAGTAGTTGGGCTTTTTACTGAATCCTAAGATCAGGAATTCAGTGGTGAAAGAAGGACTTAAATAAATTTCAAGTGTTCTAAGGTTAGAACTTTGACCTGTGCATAAATTCAGTCATTAATTTTCTGTCCATTTCTAAATTGCATAAAACCAAATTTCTAAAATTCCCTTTTTTAAATTAGGAAAAAAATTACAAATACTAAACGGTTCCTTATAGTTAGTGGCTATAAAAGCAGATAGTGTTTTATGCATATTTTCATAAGATTTCTAATCTACTGAAAATATTTACAGAGACCAGCAATTGAATAAAAAAGAAGTATGTAAAGATTTTCAAATCATTTTGCCTTTTATTAGGGTAGATTTAGCACACCTATTATTTTGCTACCATTCCTTCTATTTTCCTTATTTGTTTCATGTAGTTAATGTTAAATATTCATGTAGTTTGTATGTTAAAAATTTTGATGTAATTTCATGAATTACTTTAAAGACGTACAAGTAGATTTCATCCCACTCTCTGAAAAACATCATGCTGAAATATCAAAAAATCATTAACCACCTCTTACACAAAATTAACTTTTATTATTAGTATTTTTATTTAAATGCTGATTTCAGCCTAAAATTATGCAATATGAGTCATTTGCTGAAGTCCAAGAAAAGTATGAATATTTATACTTACACCAAATTCCTGTTCTTTAGAAAATGCTAGAGCTTCCTGCAAAGTAATTTATTTCATTGATTAGGTAAATGATTAATAATTTATTCATTCCATAAACATATGTGCTCAAAAGTGCAAAATATTCTACCTACAGTTGACATAAATTATATTTTTAAGTTAAAAAAAATATGTATATTATAAAGCAGAGGAGTGCAGACATGACACTTTATTATGGAAAACAGTTTGGTAATTTCCATTGCATCTATAAGATTAATTTTTTTAAAGATTACAATAATGTTACATTAATATTTTATTTTAAGTTTATATATACAAGGCGTATTCGGAAACTAAGTACCGTTTTGGAAAAAAAAAAAAAAATAGTAAAACAATTTTTTCGAATCCAATTTTATTTTTACATCAAAATACATGTCTTAAACTATTTTTCAACATAGTTTCTGCCAATGATCAAACACTTGTCATAGCGGGTGACCAACTTTTGTATACCATCATCAAAGAAACTTCCTGCCAGTTTCGATAACCACGACTCCACAGCATTTTTCGTGTCATCGTCAGATCCAAAGTGCTTGCCACCAAGCTCACGCTTCATGTGCAGGAACAAGAAAGACTAGTGCGCATGTGCGAGACGCCTACCACAGTGCTAGAATGAAACGGTACTTAGTTTCCGAATACGCTACGTATTTAAAACTAATACACATTATTATATAGGAAACACCACTTCTCCCTCCCCTCCCGAAACTGTCATCAGTATGAAACAAAAATAATAAAATCAATAAAGATAATCTTATATTGCTTATGCAGGAAACACAATATATTATTTGGGGATTAAGAACAGCATAAGTATAAATCATTGAAACCTAAATATTCTGAAGCATTTACAATTTGCAGAATTTAAAGCAAATTTTAGAGTTAGGGATGAGGGAAGAGAATCACGTTCTGTGAAAAAAGTCTGTAAATAAAATTTTATAGTTAATATTTTAAGATAAATTTAAGAATATAAGTAACAGGAAATCAAATATTGTAAGTAAAATGAGCTTTTATTCCAATTTCAATTATGAACCAGATTTTTAAACAGTTTTCCGTCCTATTTATACTTTAAAAAACTTTTTAAATTTCTACATATAAAATTCTTTTAAAACTTATTGTACTTTCATACATTTCAATATTTCAAAAATTTCTATTTAAACTCTATTTAAATTCTATTTAAACTCTATTGGTATTTAAACAAACATTACTATTTTGGTTATCTTTGAAATAGATTAAAATTTTAACGTGAACACTGAATTTGAGTAGATATTTTCATGGATTACATGTTTTTATGTAAAATTCAGCCAAAATAAAACATAGGTAAGCTATGAAGTTAATGTTAAGACCGTTATATGTGTACCATTCGTTTTTCTCCCCACTGATTAAGATATAAAATTAATTTCACTTTATAAAAAATCTGATGTGGCCAGCATACGACTTTGTTTGTACCTATTTTGTTTTAAATAGCACTACTTCTAGTCAATCATTTGTAGACAAAATTTAATTTTTTTTTCCAATAAATAGAAAAGTATGTAATAGGAAATTTTGGATTATATTTTATTAGGTATAATTGGATATGCATAAAAATTGGCTGAATTTTTATCAACATAATCAAATGTTTTCCCCCTTATTCCTTTTCATTAAGAATCGTATTTTATTACAATACATATTTACAATGCAGATTTTAGTGGGCAGTTGAATAACATACTTATTAATTAACTAGTTTTTGACTAAAGAAAATTAAATGTTTAAAATAAATATTTTGAAATGAATATCATACTTTCCTTTCATATTACTTTTACAGTATCAGTAACTTTAAATTAATTTTGATCTGCACATATTTTCTCATGATGGCTAGGTATCGATAAACAATGCCTGATAGTTTGTGGAATAGCAGCGGAAAAATGGCCATCGTGCATTCCAAGATCAGAGACAAGTAAAGCAATAGGTGTTTTCAGATTTGCTGTTTGCTCTTGTACCTTGTTTTATTATCAACAGTGCAAGAAAATAACAGAAGTGCCTGCAATACAAATTTTGAAATGAATGCTGTTATAAAAATCATTCTCTTTTACAGCTTGATAATAAATACCATATTTTCTTTGATTTAAAAAGTAATTCTTGTTCTCGATTTTATTTCTTAAAGCACCATTTTATTCAGTCACTTAGTTCTTTCAATTTGCAAATAATTCCATGTTATTGCATCAGATTTGTATTCAGTTATTTTCGTACATTTTTTGCACCTGTTACTTCCAGTCGCAAGACAAATATAGCAATTTGTCTTCTCAAGATTGGCATCTGATGACACTTCTTTATTCTGATCACAATAGTCAGTATAGAATTCAAGTATGTGCGGGAAAGTTGTGCAGTTTTATACATCTATGAAAAGAGTCATGATCTCAATGAAATATTGCAATAAATCAAGGAGCACTTACTGATATTTTGCACAATGAATAGATTTATATTAAACGAGCATACCAATAGTAACAACAGTCTGAGTAATAAGGGATTGAACACTGGCGGAGGAGAAAAGAAGCAAAATGTATCCTAACTACAAGAGGAGTTATTTTGGTTTTACTTCAGTAGAATGAACAGTAATGAAAGACAACGATGGCAAATGTGTTTTGTCTGCTTAAAAAATATTTACACTCGAAGCTATACTCCCGAGTACGCTAAAGCGACATCTTGAAACCATTTGTCCTAACTTCGTTGACAAATCTTGCGGTGCTTTTAGTAAGAAGTTGCTAGATTTACAAAAACAAAGCAGGGTATTTGCTAAACAGTGTTAATTACGATTAATGTACAGCTAGAGTATGCGAAGAGCAAAGTGCAAAAAACTGTACACTATCGCAGAAAAGCTTATCCTAGCGGCTGCTCTGGATACGGTTTCTATTATGCGGGAAAAGTTGCAGAAAAATTCCTTTCTAAGGCACCTTTATCCAACAAAACTATTAATCGAGGAAGTCAGAGTATAGCTCAGGATCTCAATGTTCAGTTGATAGAGAAAATGATATGAATTTGGTCTACAATTTTTATGAGGCTACTGACAATAACAAAGTTTCAAATCTCTTATGTACACTTCCTGGATGGTAATATTATTGTTGAAGATCTTCTGTTTGCAAGAGCACCTTTGGAAGCATGACTTTGGAAGACTTGACTTGTTTGAAATACTTGACAAGTTTATAATGAAAAATGATTTAGATTGGAAAAAATGCGTCTGCATAAGTACTAATGGCACTCAATTAATGTTCAGTCGTTATGAAGGACTGCAGACACTTAGCTGTAGCAAAATACTGCATGCTGTATGGATTACAATGAAGCACTTGCATCGAAATTGCTTAGTCCTCAGTAAAACTTGGTATTAGAACGTGTCATAGACGTAAAAATGTTGTGCTAGAACATGTAAGCTGAACACACAGCCTTACTATACTATTGTAATACATGATAGCTTTTGTGTTACGACAATGTCCTATCTCATGCACTTCAGCTGCATCATGAAACTCATGCCTTTCTCAAGAGGAGAGTCATGCGATCACTAAGTATATTGCCAAACTAGATATTTTGCTGAAACCAGCATATTAGTGCGACATATTTGAGGATCTAAATGTCTTGAATTTGTTTCTCTACAGGGCAATGAATGTTCATCTTGAAACCTGTGGAAAAGATTAAGTGTTTAGGAAAAAGCTGCAGTTGTGGATAAGAAAACTGAATTAGAGTGGTGCTCAAGACTGCTTTCTTACATTGTACAAATACACAGCTTCTAATAAAATCTTTGTTTTACAGGAATTGCTGTCCCTTTTCATGGAATACTTCTCAAAGCTCCCTGACACATTTGCAAAATACTCTGCGGAAGATAATAATGTAGGAAAATTTATTTTGACCCAAAATTCTTTTCATCCTCGAATACCCCCAACATGTTACTTCGCAAGATGAAGAGAGTTTAATTGAACTCTTTTGCGACAGCATTCTGAAAACAAAATTTCTTAATCAGATTTACTAGAATTTTAGATTTCAATCAAAACTGTATCCAACTTTTAAGTTCAAAAGCTATCAGGATCCTCATTCCCTTTGCATCATCTTATTTATGTGAAGCTGGATTTTAAGCAACTACTGGAATAAGGGCAAAATATTGTTCGAAAATCAATGTGGAGCAAGAAATGAGAATAGCTATATCAAGTCTTCTTTCACAATTTGAAAATTGTTTGGGGATCAAAAGTTAACCTATCGCACTAACTTTCTAATTTACCACTGAACATTTATTTTATTTGTATTTAATTTGCATGTTTTCCTATAAATTAAAGTGATAGTTTTTCATTAAAATGTTGTTTATAATTCTATGCCTGATTAACACTGCAGTAGAAATATTGCAACTGGGGAGTTGTGAAAAAAATAACAAAATTGCAGTGCCACGTAATGAGAAAGTTTGGAAATGCCTGCCTTATAACCATTGATAGAGGATCATTTTCTTCCCCCTTTTTAGAACTTTATATATATTATCATATATATATATAATATATATATATATATATAAGATCTACCGAAATTTCTGTCTGTTTGGGAAGTGAAAGAATATAATAAATTTTTCATACCTTCATTACACAATATAATTTAAATCGTTGTTTATGACCTCTTGCCAGCATGATGTTAATTTGTAAATATCACTTTTGAAAAATATCTTGTTACTAGAGCTGAAGAACTCAAATAGTGCTTAGCTGAAACCTACTTCAGTTCTGAACTTTTATCCCTTAAAATTTTGTAAGGTGAGAAACAAGGAATGATTGGATAGTGCTCGATTTGGAAAGTATAGTGAATATGGCATAATTTCTGAGCTAGTTCTGTGATTTTTCTGACATGTCACCAAAGCATTATGGCATTACCATGATGAGGTATAATGTCCTTCTTTTAATTACTGATGGCTTCTTTTCTTTCACTGCTTTGTTTAAAATCATCCATATTCTGATTATATCTCTCCAAGTTGAACTTCTCATTAGGTTTCAAAAGCTCATATTGTATTA